TGGCTATCAAATATCAGGAATATGAATTCTAAACAATGTATGTTATATTTTACAAGTCACATAGGTTTAATAATATCGTTGCTATTAACCGGGTTCTGTTAGGAACTTTAGCAAAGTTAAAAGGATTAAAAATGCTCACTCATATGGGTTATATTTGAAGGATCAAAATGAACAGAATCTCATACATAAGTTATAATTTTAGCCAAAAAAAAAAAGGGAGAAAATTTATGTCCAAATTCAACATTAACTTCACCTCCAAATAGGCCTTGCAATGCAAAATTTATGAGTTTCGGAGACGCACTAAAAAAACCCCATAAAAACATATCTCTTTACCTAAATAATACATATCTAGATTGTTACTAGAAATATAACTTTATAAATTTAACATAATAAATGATTAATTAATTAGATACATAATACTAATTCACCAAATTAATAAAATTTCAGGAGCAAAGTGCAGATTTGAGTTGCTTAAACGTGAAGCATGAGTATTACAAAGATGAAAAATAAAAATAGTCAATTTTTTGAGGGACTAAAGATGCAAGTTTAAATTAGAAGAAAAAGAAACCGACCTGGTGTAAAACTCCACGGGTGTCTCCATGTGAAAAAGAACCCATCATTTTTCTGCCGGTTCCTACACCTAAACATACACAATTCATAAATCAATACAATTCATGAGTAATTAAAATGAAAAGAGTCCAATAATAAAGAAGAAAAAAAGCACTACAGTTACCATGAGAAACAGAGAAGAAAAGCATGACAAAAACAGCAACGATGAAGATGGAACGCCCCATTGATAGATAGAGTAAATAGATAAAATTTCTAATTTAGCTTGAAAATATGTTTCTAAAACTTTTGGGGTATTTAAAAGAGGGAAGAAGGGTTTTTTTAAAAAAAAAAATTGGTGGGCAGCTGGAGTAAATTAGAGAACCTAGAAAACTACGAAATCACTATATATTCACTTTGGAGACGTTCTCAGATCCGATATTGACGTGTATAAATCATAATTAATATTTTAGTACTACATTTTGTAAAAAGATATGGTATTTTTGATAATTATGTTTATGTTTTAATATAAATAAAAATTAAAGTAAGTGGAGTATAATTTGGCGATATTTATGTGGCAGAAATAAATAGAAATATTTTCATTGAATGAGCAACAGAAAAAGAAATTAATTATCAATTCATTTAATAGGAATTTGTGCAAAAACTTCAATTATTGGTTATTCAAGGGGTAATTACATTAAGCAAATATATACATATCATGTATAATTTATTTTACTTCATTAAATCACGTAATAATATATTTTACATTGATTTAATATAAACATTAAACTTTTTCCTTACTTAATTATCAATCACATTTTTTTTTAGCGATGAAGATTGAAGGGGGATTATTTCTTTCGGAATCACGTTTATTACTCCATTTACAAAGCCTTTAATTTCTAGATTTTGATAAGTGGATTTTACTAAATTTTATTTTTATTATATGGTGTGACATTAATTGACTTTAACTTATTTTAAGGGGTCACTATTAATAGCATATTTGTATTTTTGATGCATGCATATTAAAATAGTACTATGTTCCTTGAACATGCAACATAAAGTTTATGAGATATTGTATCTATTCGATCAAGATTGTCCAAATTTATTTTTATTTTTAAAAAGTCAACACTTCAAAAAGTCATCACAGATTTTGGTGGATCAAAACAAAAAAATATATAAAACGATGGGGCACAATATTGACTTGTCTAAGAATATATATATATATATATATAAGATTGTTTAATGTGATTAAATTTTTTAATTGCAAAGTCTAAACTCATGAAGACCCTAGTAATTGATTATCACATGCAATGAAACATTAAAAATCTTTAATTGTATTATAGAGGCCAGAGGGTGAAGAGGAGCTATTGTCAGATCACTTGTGTACGTGCACATGAATGTTCATATATCGCAGTGAGGCTGGCCGACGTTAACTACTTCCGTCGAATAATATTCCCTCTCTTTTAAAAAGGATGTCTTAGTTTGACTTGAAACGAAATTTAATAAAGAAAAAAGATTTTTTAGTCTTATAGTTTTAAATTAAAGTTAATCAATGTAACGAAATATTTTTTAATCTTGTGGTTTTAAACATGTCATGTGAAAAATTATAGTTAAAATATTGACAAAAAAAAAATGGGTCATTCTATTTTAAACAAACTAAAAAGAAACTAGGAACATTCTTTTTAAAACGAAGATAATACTTATTTAATTTAGAAAATCAAGAAATAATTTTTTTTATATATATTTATTTTATTTTTGCTATTAAATATACGTATCATCTAAGCAAGGGCGGACCGACACTATATGAAGGGGATACACGTGCACTCGCTAACTTTCAAAAAAAATCATATATATGTATATTTAATTTGAAAAATTGGTAGAAACACTACAACAAAAACAACTTTTGGCGGCATTAAATATTGACTTTAATAAAAAGCGCTAAAGTCTTTACCGACAGTAGTTAAGTGCCATTAGAACCAATGTCGCTAAAGGCTTTGAGGACATATACAAAGTGACAATTGTCGCTAAAAATACATATTTAGCGACAATTAAAAATTAAATGCCGCTAATGATCATTTTTGTTGCAATAAAATTAGGATAAAACTAACGGCGCACTCATAAAAAACATACAAAGTTCTCTTGTGCAATTGGTTGAAGCAAGATATTTCACTATCTAGATCAAGGTTTGAATTCTACTAAAGCTTGTTTTTATTTACTAGTTTCTGGGTATGCGCCATGCGCGTGTGGCCATATTAATAAAATTATTTTTGTGAATATTGTATATTAACAATATTTTTAAATTATATTATGTGTGATAAAATAGAAAATACAAATTACATGTTTTTAAAATTGATAAGTATCATATATGGTGTTTTTGTTTCTAAGATCCAAAATCCAAAAAACTATACAACTACAGTATTTAAATGAATAAGTGAAATGTTATGTGCTACGTTAATGAAATATATGTAAAATCAGTAACATATAGAAGTTTTTACCAAAATTAATGTTGTGCGTTGCACATGTTAAGCCCTAGCAAGAAAATTAAATAATAAGTATTATAAGTGTATTCTTCACTAAGAAATTTCTTTGACGAATGCAGCAATATCCATAGCTGAAATTCTTGGACAAATCCAACGACGTTCATAGCGTATTTTAATAGCCTTTAACTTTGACATTGATTGAGAAAAACTGCTCAGAAATGATACACTCTTCTTTACAGCCCATAAAACGGAGAGGGGACTTGAGGAAAATGAAAACTATTCTTGGCTTTATATAATACTTTCACTTTAAATGATTAATTAGACTCTTTAGCTTCTTTTCACGTATTTATCATTGAAAATAACATATATTAATATATTAACTATGAGATTCATTGTATTGAAATCTACAATTTTTAGAATTAAAGGTAACTGCTTTTATATTTTAGTTAATGTGCAACTTAAATCTCTGCCTATTTGCTCTCATTAACTAACATTTGTCTCTTCATTTTCTTTAATGTTTACATTATTTAATTTTCATAACTTTTCAAATATTCTCAATTCATTAATAGTAAAAAAAAGTTTACTGCTTAATATTTTTCAAAAATAAAAAAATCAAATATGAATATAACATTTTTATTTAATATAAGGATAAAATGATAATTCAATTTTTCACTTTGGAGCTTTCCACTTGTAATAATATATGATATTTGAGCTATGTTTATATTGGTGCACTTAATGTTTAAATTCTGAGTTCGCATCTGCATCTAAGACAGTTTTTAAAGCATTAAATTTAATAAAATCAAAAAAATAATATAAAAATATTATCCTTTTATTTATTGATATTTCTTAAAATGTGTGTTAAATGAATAATAAACTACTCAAATTAGAGATTTAGAAAATAATTTCTCCAATTCAAATGGATTATCTTGGTACAAAAAAGAAAATAGTATCACTCAAAGTAAACATGGCTTGAATATCGAAAGTTGGGAAGTAGTTCCCACATCACGTGTCACCATTTAGTGTTTCCTGCTAGTGGCTACTTAATTAAAAGCTTTTGCTTTTGAATTTTTATCTTTTGTTGTCTTGGATGGGGACATCTCCATGCTTTAACTTTACCTTCAACAAACAAATGCACTTTAACTAGGCTGTAAGGCAGCAACATGAGTAGCTTCTTCTTTTTATTTATTTACACCTCTAATTAAACTCTTCCTCTGGCTAGTATAGTTCAAGAATCACTTGGAAAGTAGTGCAAGCATTGAACTATTTTTAATGAAAGTTGACTTTTCATTTTCAATCCCAATAACTTTGCCATACTCCATCACCTTTCATAAACTTTAATGAAGCATATAACTTGCAACTATAGACAACTTGAACTTTCCAGGCAAACTCAGTCGGCTGAACAAAACAGAAACACTATAGTTTCGACTATACACCAAAACTAAATTTTTAGACTGATAACAAAATTAGTTGATTATGAGATTCTCTTAAATCAAACAAGATCCCATTTAATTTCTGTGAATGGTATTATAGTCAAGGAAAGTATAACTAGTCATAGACACTGCATTGTGCACTTCAAACAGCTCAATACAACAACATAGAGTGTATGCCAACCTTACTGCTATTTTGGAAGGTTGAGAGATTTTAGATATATCCTCAGCTCGAGGAAAAGCAGATTGCAAAAGAAATAACTGATAAAAACATTCAATCAGTGTCTGTCTTGATGTAATTTTGTTTGTTTTGTGCATACAGTAAATGAAATTGATCCAACTAATCCAATATTTCATTTTGTGTAAGGCTCACAAAAAGGGCACTCTCTATTAGGAGCTTTCCATTCCCAGGGCTCGATTCAAACCCTCCACGCTCTGACTAAGGTTGGAGGGACAGTACTGCACCTGTATGAGCAAATAATCTCTCAGTCACCATTGTAAAAGTAAGTAAAAATACTTGAGCAATGAGCATTAGGTTGGAAGAATTTATGCAATAAAACATTTCTAACCCTCCAGAAGAAATCTATTTTTTTTTATGACAAGCGCTACCATTTGAATGTACAAAGGGTAAAACCCCTGCTTTTATGCAATAGCTCGCAAACAACATAGGAGACGTAACCTCCGGAAGAAATCTTAATGACAAGGAAATTGACACTTGACTGGTTTACACAGTTCATCAATGTGTTAACCACCTTCAAGGAATCAAATAGCTGCGAAGATCAAGTGGTATGGAAAGGGAAATCATCCGGCAGCTTCATTGTAATTATGAATTAGCCTGATATTGGTCCCTGCAGGAAGCTGATATGGAATCCCAAAGCAACTGTTAAAGTAATGTCAAAAGTGCTTTGAATAGTTTGTTATCAAGGAAGCTTGTATAACTCAAGAGAATCTACAAACGATAGCTTTTCAACTAGTCAACAAATTATTTTTGTGCATAAAACAATAGTAATCTATTGCAGAAGCCACATGATAAGTTCCACACTAAACCACTCCATTCCCTGAAAATGAATGTTGTCAAGTTCTTCACAAAATACTAGAATATCTCAAACTTTGACCATTACTTTTCCCCTCTCAATGCAGTTCCATTTATAGTTGCATATACAACTACTAGGAGTTGGACAATAGCCTCCTTCAGTTTCTGGAAAGGAACAAGATAAGCATTTAAACTGAAAATAATTTTAAGTTCTCCAAAAAAGAGAGAAGAAAAGAAGGCCAACAGGAAGAAAGGGAAGTTTAGTTATGCATGGTGAAGCTCCATTCATAGTGGTGCATTATAATAGAACTTGAAGCAGACAAAAAGCTAAATAAGGAACTCATTCATTTCACCTCCAACTTATTTTACCACGCGATTTTCACACTGACTCTAGTATGTGTCTCGCTTTCTCAAATACAAATATACACATCAACGAAGAAACTTAATACCCAGAAAAATCACTAGAAAACAGAACTCACTAAACTCACTCACACAAAAAGGAGGGAACTAACAGCAAGATTGATCTATTCTAATTCTGTAAAAAACTTAACATTGAGTCTACATCTAGACTTTCTCTGGACTACACTATGAATAACTGGTCTAACGGAAATGCCAGTGGCAGACAATTGTGAAGCATATTCAGCTGAATAACTCCTGTCTTGCCACCACCATTTTGTAACATTTACAAAGCTTATCAACACACCTGCTTATGAGCTCTCATTGAAATTTAACGACCTGGACATTGCTGCTGGATTTACTTGTAATAAGGTAGAGTTTTCTGAAACACAACTCCTCTCATCATTCTTCGGCAGAAAGTCACTGAGAAGACCTCCACCAACTGAATTAACAACCTCATGTTTAATTCCTAATGTTGCCCAGATAGGACTCTTTGCAGCTTCTCCTGGATCATCAATTCGCAATGTTTTAGGAAACCATAGACGCTTCCCAGGATCACTTTCTTTTCGTTGCTCTTCCTCAGTGCCTGTCGATTTCAGCACATTCTCATCCCTTGAATGTTTCCTCGAAGTTGGAGAATTAGGATCAGGAGTTAGAGGCATTTGGTTGTGGGAAGCAGTGGGTGGGGACATCCAAGGGACATTCCAAGAGCCTGGTATTGTACAACCCCAATAAGTGGTTGCAGGGATGAAAGACATAGGAATGCCGGGAAGGGAGTAACCAGGTGGAGGTACTGCATTTCTACAGTGCACAGAACTCCATATGTATGGCCAAGGAGCTCCAGTAAAGCAAGGTAAATGAGTTGGAAAGCTGTTGTAGTTCTTCCTTGGAGTGTTAGGTAATCCATTATCACTATCCTTTGAACTTATAGCAGTAACCGAAGATCCATCGGAATGATCATCTCCATTATCTCCAGCTTGAATTCGAAGCTCTTTATATTTTTGAAACCCATTCCCAGAACAATTTTGCATACCTTTATCAGCAACGTTCAAAACTGAAACCATCGACTCAGATACGGGTTTGTCAGTATCAAATGACAGAATTGTTCCATTGAGCGTGAGGGGAGGATGCTGGGTTTCAGTAGGAAAATTTGTTCTTACATTTGATAGTGCTTCAGAGACGGATACGTGACTATAATGCAAAACCGAGTTCTTGTGTTTCCGACGACCAGCACCTACAGGCACATTCCTCATAGTCCCACCAGCAGTCCAATATCTCTGACAATTCTTGCAGAAGTGTCTAGGCTGGCTGGCGTTGTAATTGTTGAAGTAACAGAATTTTGTTTCCATGCTATTACAGCGAGGGCATGGAAGTGTCTTCTCTGGTTTTTTCAGGTTTCTCTCGTGTGAGTTGCTTGTTTCACCGTGTTCCTCTTTACTTTTTGACGTTTTGGCTGTAGAAGATTCATAATAATTTATAATATCACATCTCTGCTGAATTGGATTCTGATCCTGTGAATCCTCAGTAGTCAAATGTTCATTGTCATCAATACAATCATCATATAGACCCTGTATGTAGAGAGAAAAATCAAGTTAGATTCTTAAATTTATTCAAGTAACAGATAACATATGGGAGTTGCAGAGTCAAGCAGTGTTTAACAAGATTTCACTAGATCCTGATATCTACACTGACTGCTGAGCTTCCCTGTCACTGAAGCATGTGCCAAGTTCATAGACAGAATGTTGAGGTCAAAGATAAGAAGGAATACATAAAAGTCCTATACACCCTCCGATACAATTTGTTTGATTGGTTTTGACTTGACATGAAATTCAAGAAAGTAAAAACGACTTTAAATTTTGTGCTCTGAAGCTAAAGATATGTAGAATGTACCAAAATGTAATTTAATCTTATGGTCTTAAAATGAGTAAAGTTAGAATTAATGAGTTACCAACCAGAGCAAGAGACATTGTTCTTTAAACGGACTATAACGGGAAATTAGTACAAACAAATTGAACAAGGGAGCATCATTTAGAAGTTACTGAAGGAAGACAGAGGATTTGAATACCTGACAACTTAAGTATCTTTTGGAGTATACATCATATCATAGCGAGAACGCTGAATTGAGTAGTTAAGAAAGATTTGAACATTCATCTTACATAAAAAGCAATATCTTTTACATAAGATCATATTTTATATGAATTACAGAGATTAACAAAACACATCAATAGTTTGTACCCTTTAATTCTTTCACGTCTCACAATAATTGACAAGTTCAAAAGTAGATAAATTTGATGTATAAAATCTCAAGTAAGCGATAAACAAAGCAAAGCTGTTGCTTGAGCTATACAGCCATCGCTTGTCACATACAGGCTAAAGAAAACTAGTTAAAGCATAAGGAAAACTCTTCTTAAGTGCAAAGCATAATTTATCCCAAGCTGAAAAGAGGAGGAGAACTGTGGTAAGCCAATGTTCGTGTAGAAATAGTCAAGATATAATATAGAAAGAACCCCCTTGATACACAGGATTCATACTGCCAATCCTAGCTAGATTGAGATTGAGCCATAATTTGATGGAAGCACAAGTAATTACAACTCTATTAATTTCAAGAAACGGTAACTTCAGTAATTTACACTGACAAGGGAACCACAGCCGCTACTCTTTTTGATTGTGCACAGGATAAGCCTGTTGTTCAACTAGAGGAGTCCTGTGCAATGAGCTCGACCAATAAGGCGGTAAATTCAGTATATAGTTTTTTCACTACAAAATAGCTAACAATCTTAAGAGAATTGAACAACAAAAGAAAAACTTAAGTGTTCAGACAAAGAAAGGAACACCAATATAGAAAATTTCAGTAAGCATAACCTAATAGCCAAAAGAGGTAAAAAATTCTAACCAAAGAAGGAAAAAAAATAACCAATACGGATCTAACAAAAAAGAAGAATCCAAAACCCTAACAATATGGTCCAAAAGGAAAGTCAACAACCAGTCTCCAGATGACTTCAAAACCATAATAAAGTCATTACATACAAAGAAGAAGCATTTATTATTATCATACCTTGAGCTCTTGCTCGACTTCTCCAGCTAAGAAACTACTATCCTCCGGCGCCGGAGCCGGAAAATCGGGTAACTGAATAGTCCAACCAAAGAGCTTAATGGCAGGATCCTTTATAGCAATTGCTTCAGACATTGGCAAGTCCCAAAGATTAAAAGTATAGTATAATAGCAGAGAACAGAAAGAAAGAAAGAAAGAGGAACAGATAATATGAGATGAATTTTTGGGATTATTGACACTTTAATTCATTCAGCAGAGGCAGAGAGAAAGAGATCTGACACCCACTAACACTTTCTTTGTTATGGGTCTGGTTTTAGGCTTTGGTTGGTTTACCAAAACAGGTGTTTTATCATATTCTCCTCTAAAATATTTTTAAGATTTAAATTCAATATAAAGTATAATCCAACGAACTTTTTATAAATAAAGAGGTTATAAATTTTTTTCTCAAACGAAACGAAGTGTAATCAAAATAAAAAAGAGGTGTTATGCCAGGTGAGCAATCGTTAATTTAGAGCCATAAGTTGTATGTGGCTATAGATCTTGTCTTTCTCTTTCTTGATTCTCTAAATAAAATAATAGTAACACTTTTTAATCCGACTCAGCACGACCTTTTTCTTTTCCCTTCACAAGTAGCCGCCCACCCCTTTCAAAAAGATCCGCCTTTTCCCCTTTTTGGGACTTCTTCCGTTTCCACGTGTATTCTTTTCCATTACTCTATTCTATTCCTTCTTTTTAAGTTATTATTTATATTTTATAAAAAATAGGAACAAAAAAAATTAATCAGAATTTGTATTTAATAGAGATTTGAATTTTACCTATTAAATATATTTAAATTTGAATCATTTAAATTTACCTATTAAGTTTTTTTTTTTTTTTAGAAAATTTTTAATTGATCGGAAGATATCTGAATGAATCAAATCTACAAAAAAACTCTTAATAATATTCATACTCATTTGATAAGTTATCAAATAATAAAACATAACATATTTCATGCAATGTTAAGATTTTTATCCTTTCAATAAAAAAAATATTATTTTAAAATAAAAAAAAATTTATAAATTTCTGTCCATTTAAAATTATCATCATTGTTGAGAGAAATCAATTATCTTTTTCAAACTTTCTTCATTAATTATTTTATAATAAGGGGTACATATTTTTTTTTATCTTTAAATACTTGTTTATTTTAAATTGATACATATATTTTAAAAAATAATGATTGATACAGTGAATTGTCATTTTACTCCTATTATCATAAAATGGATAATTTAAAAACTTAAAAGAGTTTCAAGGAAGATCTTTATTTTTCAAAATTAACTAATTAAAGATATAAAAGGTAAAAAAAATTTATCCTTTCTTGATATGTGAAAATAGTCAAAGTAAAAACAAAAACTAGAATTAATAATTAGAAACTAAGAGAGTATATAATAAAGATTACAAATTAACAAGTAATATATTGGTCAAATATCCCTCATTATTGAATTTCTCTTAAAGATTATGTCAAACTATAATATGACAACTAAGAAAAAATGGATAAAGTAATTAAAATCTCACTATATTTTAACACTCTATTAATTATAATGTATTATTTCATAAGTAGTATTATGTTATTATATTATTCTAATAAATATAATATTTACTTAAATTTTATATATCGGATAGAATAAAAAATCTATTAGGTAAATGTAATTTATTTTATAGTTTTAGAAATGATTTAGTTCAAAAATATAATTTATTTCAATTTACTCATTTACGATTGTTTATAGCCATGGAGATATCATTAAATATTTGAAAATTTGTGGATGAGTATGAAAATTGATCCAAGTGGATATGATGGACGCTACAAAACGTGCTTTCACAGCCAACTTTAAATTTTTTTAAAAAACTTTAGTTCAATCATACTATCCCTTCTCCTGCGTGGGACCAAAGTCGAGAAAATCTAGAATATAAACAATAATTAATTTAATGTTGATGATAAGGTAGAGTTGACAAGGTTATTGCATTATTACATACAAACAATACCAAATTTTGTATAAAAATTCCTTAACCTCTTTTAATTATAAAAACTATTTCCAAGCTGATCTCTTTTGTAACATGAAGAATCATAATAGCACCCTTGCTTTTCCTATCCTTTTTTTTTTCGCATGATTACATCAAAATAGTATTCTATTATATACTCATAAGAAAATTAGCACACATATATAATAAAATAACGTATCTTGAGATTGTAGATCATATTGTACCTAATACTAATACATATGCAAATGTAATTCATATCAAAACATGTATATTAATCGGGATTCATTCCACGTACTTGCATTTAATCCATATATTTTATTTAATCCATATGATGTATAGATAACCCACACAATATAATGTTTCCTAATTAAATAATACTTCCTCTATTTCAAGTTAATTGAATTGTTAAGATATTTTTCATTTTTTAAATAAATTTAATTGTTCAATTTTCAAAATTATTTTTGGAATATTCTTCCAATTTTATTCTTCATTAGTTAGTATTGGAATTGGTTATTAATTAATATTAAATTATTTTAATTATAAATTTGACAATAATAAATAAAGACAAAAATAAAAAATTGTGCTAGATTTACGTTTTCATCTTCTTTTCTTAAATATTGTGAAACAACTCAGCAATTTAATTAATTTAAAATGACAGAGTATAACTAGAAGGGATGATTTGATTCTAGCAGTTGGACATACATAATCCATAATTTCTAATTAAGTGTAATTTTAACAATTACAGATTATATATAATGTGTATGTGATTCATTATTTCATAATCTTATTTATTAGATTTATTCAGAAAAAGAAGAAAAGTAAAAATAAGTTACTCTTCCGAAAGTTAGTATTCTTAAGTTATATGACCATGTGATTTTAGTGTAGAAAGTAGAAAGAGAGCATTACTCTTCCACTCTTAAGTCGTAACTACTTTGCATAACATTCGTGTACAAATCTCTTGAACCTTTTATTTTAGAGAATCCTAAAGTAGTTGTGACACTTAATTACTCTTTTTTCTATAATAATAAATAAATAATCAGAGCAGAGAAATTAGAATAGTTACACAGCTAATCCGATATTGAAGATTTTAAGAACTTGATCCAAAGTCGTTCATTTTTAGAAAATTCGCGCTGAGCCTTGTGATTGATAAGAGACATGTTTCATTAATGCCAAAGAAAATGACTCATTTAATTAAAAGTCTTACTCATGTATGTCTTGACTATGGATCGGACCAGAGAGTCTTAATGGATCTCGATGATTTGGAAAACATACCGATTGAACAAGTTTGTGAAAATTTGAGATGTAAAGAGGACGAAGGTCTTACTTATACTGATGTGGAAGAGAGGTTGTCCATTTATGGACACAACAAGCTGGAGGAGAAGACGGAGAGTAAATTCTTTAATTTTTTGAGATATTCACGTAATCCTCTCTCACGGACTATGGTAGCTGCTGCTATCATGGCAATGGCAATTGTGAGGAAGGCCTCCAGATTGGTACCTTTTCTTGGTATCCTTACATTTCCAATTGTAAATAACTTATCATACTAACTAGCGATATAGCATCTCGGGTCCAATATTTAGAAAAGTGGTGCAGAGTTCTTATACGTGGACAATGGTGTGAAGTAAACAGTTCTAACCTTGTCCCAGGGGATATGATCCGTATAAAAATGGGAGACATAGTTCCTGCAGATGTTCGTATCCTCAAGTACTGTACTACTGATGATCCAGTCGTGAAAATTGACCAGTCTGATCTGACAGGTGAATCCCTTCCTGTAACAAAATCACGTCGTGGAGATTGTGCTTACTCTGGTTCAAACTGTCAAAAAGGAGAAATTTTATCGCTACTGGAGTTCGTACCAGATATAGGAATGCGGCAGCTGCCCACCTTGTTAAAAAGTTCCAACCAAGTGCTGAGCAGGCCAACCTGGAAGTTTCGTCAGATACAGAACAATCAGTTCACTCTGTGATTGATACGTTTGCTGACAAGGTCTTGCACTCAATCACTGTAGCAATCCAGGAAGTTCCACACGGAGGAAAGGAGAAATCTGGGAGTCCATGGCAATTCATCGGTGTTCTGCCTTTTGTTGATCCGCCAAGGGAGGATTGTGCAAGCTCAATCAGGGAATTGTTGAACCACGGAGTGAACGTTAAAATGATTACAAGGGATCAACTGGTAATTGGAAAAGAAATTGGGCGTCGCGTGGGAATGGGAACAAATATGTATCCTTCATCTGCTCTGTTGGGACATAATTAGCGAATCAATTGCTGCTGATAATGATGTATCAATTGATGAAATCATAGAGAAGGCTGATGGATTTGTTAGCTGTGCCCTTTCTGAGTTAATATTCGTCATGAGGACTGGGAGTTTATTGCCTGGTTGTGATATTCTCCTATCTATTTGCGTGTTTTATCAACTTATTTCCACCATGCTTGTTGTGTTTGGAGATCAGAGCATTGGCTGGAGTTGTGTAGGAAAAATCTGGCTATACAACATAGTATTCTACGTTCCTCTTTATTGCATCAAGTTCTTCAATCAGCGCGACCAAAGGATTTTTGAAAACTACATTGTGATTGCTGGTAAATTAATTTATAGAATAAGCTGTTTTTTTTAGATTAACTTTGTTTGTTGCATTACTTTGTTTTCTGCCTGCAAGTATTTTTTTCTTTTCTTTTTGTCATAACCAGTTATAATGGTAAACATCCAAACTAGAATCTATTTTGGGATTTACATGGTTCATGTTATTGGGAAAATACCAATTATTATTTTGCAATATGTTTTTATGTTGAATTTAACTGTGTAATTTATTGCAAGGGTATTTGTTACTCATAGAAAGGAAGAACGGTCTCAATTTCTGAACTGCAGTAGGTTTCTTGTAAGATCAAATCATACTAAGAGTCTGTTTGGCTCAGCTTAAAAGCTGGTCAAACTGATTTAAAAGCTGGTTTTTGACTTATTTAACTGTTTGACAATACTTAAAATAGCTTATTTTAAGTTAAAAAAAACTTATTTTAAGCCAAAAGTTAAAAGCTGGGGTAGGGTGCCTTTTTTTTTTAGCTTATAAGCTGTTTTAAGTTGACCATATTTTTTATGTTTTTTCTCTTAATATTTTTATACAATATTCAAATTACCCATATAACCCTAACATCTCTTTCTTCTATTTTTCCCTTTTCACGTTTGGCATAACAATTTCAGCACTTTTATCCAAATGCATAACTGTTTATTTTAAAAATAAGTTTCAGCACTTTCAAAAGTACTTTTTAAAGCTGCTTTTATTAAGTCCATCCAAACAGGCCCAACGTAAGACATAAAAGTGACTACTTTATTGGGTCATTTCATAACTTTTTGCTTTCACTTCCAACATGTTGCTATTCATAAAGCGGAAAAATATCTAAGGATGGACTATTGAGCGCCACTTAAATCATTGCCAAATTTTGATGGTCTGACTTTAGTCTAATAGTCTAATACTAACTCGTACAACAACCCAATTTGCCATGGATTTTAGTTTGAAAATTTAACCTCCCATTTCGTCGTGCGTATAGACCAACTAGCCTCTAATTTCAACTTTGAATTCCTTGTTTGTCACGTCGAGACTGTGTTAGACTTTAGACAAGTAATACTCCTCTCACACGAGTCAAAGTATATGACAATGATGCCACCTCCTTGTGCTTTCACTATCAACAACATACTTTTCAATTGCTTACTATTACCCAAAATACCTTACTTTATTGTAAAGATATGCCAAACATTTTTTATTATTTTTTTACGCAGTAGCAAACTCAAAATTTTCATCTACGAAAAATATACACACTTTCAAAATTCAATATATATATATATAAAGAAAAAAAATTAAGCATGTAGAAACATATCAAGTTATGAATGTCTGGGAGTGAAATGAAAATTGTTTAAACTATAATTTTAGGAATTTTTTTATAGAAAAACAAATATTTAAAGGTATGAAAAGCTATAGCTATTTGTTTTAGAAAATTGTGATTAGCAGTCATCGTTTCCTTAGATCTTGCTATTTGTTTAATTTGTATAATTCACGTAAAATTGTGTAATTCACTTGATTGTATATATTTATCTTAGCTATTTGTATACGATTTATAAAAAGTTAACAATAAATTATCCAATTTGTATATTGGCAAGCGAAATATACAATGGGGGTTCAGAAAAATTTCTAAATATATAGATACATAATTTATATATACTTACTTATTTGTAATATTCACAAGTAAAATATACAAAAATATAAGTAAAAATATACAAATCGCACAAAATATACAAATCATGACCTCCTTAGCAGATAAAACTATAAATATAAAGCACAATTATCAAAACTATAACTATAAAACCTTATTATATCTAATCTATCATATTTGATATTTCTAAAATTTATAGTTTTAATATGAAATTACAATCTATCACCGTTTAGTTTGTAATTACTTAATTCCTTATAACATAAATCTGATACATAATATGTAGCTCGAATACATTCAAAATTAATTTGGATACATCATAAAATAAATCAAATACATATTACGTAGCTCGAATATATTAAAGAAATAATGAATTTTAGAGATTTTTAAAAATAGAATGGGATAATAGTAAAATATAAAAAATTGTGTATTTCAATAATTTTTAATGGTGGGATTGAGTCGGGTCATTTGATGAGTCATATGGCCCATGTAGGTAAGTTGTAGCCCATTAGAACCAGAAAAAGAATTCTAAAACTTAAATTTGGAGTGTATGAAGTCCACCATTTCATGTGAAAGAATTTAAATACACATCAAATCTCCTTGTCGTCTCTGCTTCCCTTTCTACACTCTTTGATGGCCGGCCTAAATTTCAATTTACACCAGATCTCCATTCTCTGCTATTAGTCTTCTTCCTTGTAGATTACTTCAATCTGATATTAATTCTTAATTGACTATCCATCAATATTCCAATCCCTTTTTCAATTTGGGAAAATTGGCCGATCTGATTTGAGTCTTTTATATTCTTAGATACAATCTTGAAATCTTTAACCCAAATGGTCTGTTTACACACCTCAATTCCTCCAATAGACCCAAAATTAGCCAGGGTGAAAACCAAGATTTCAACTGCCCACTTTTCGAAATTGAGGCAAATCAATCGGTCGGACAAGAAAAGAAACATGCCGCCAAGTGATTGTGAACAGTCTCACTCTGCTATCATTGATGTAGTGATTTTCATTGCCGTGGTTGGTGCTTCTGGGGTTTTGTTGTATCCTTACATAAATCTTGTGGTGCATATACTGATTGAATTTTTCGAAGAAGTTTCTGATGTGGTGAAAGAGGAATTTTTGCGCGCTCCGATGGTGTTTATCTGTCTAGGGCTTAGCATTTTTTTTGCTGTGATTGCTCTTTTGGCAGTGACTATTTGTACAACAGGGAGAGGATGTGGGAGACCAGGTTGTCGTCGGCTTAAGAAAGCTGCTGAATTTGATATACAGCTAGAGACAGAAGACAGTCTTAAGAAGTCAAATTTGACTCCTCCTAAAATTGGAGGAGTTAAAAAGGGGATATTCAAGTTACCTAGAGATTACCATCAAGAATTGGAAGGTGAGCTTAAGAGAATGGCTCCGCCTAATGGTAGAGCCATTCTTGTGTATCGAGGCAGATGTGGTTGCTCTATAGGTACAATGGAAATTCCTGGACCAAGGAAGACTGGAAAGTTTAAGAAATAATTATAGGAAGCATATTTTGGATGCTGTAATAATCAGATGATGCCTTTGGCTGGTAATCTTCTCTGAAAAGTACTAGACCCTTTTATAAGCTTTTATATATATATATATATATATATATATATATATATATTACAAAGAACAGGAACCCTTATTATAATGTAGCAGGGGAATCTGCCATTTTGGCTACCATAATAGTGTACCCCGTTCCTAAAAATTATTCAAGTACTATTTCGGCCACACAAGATGTCTTTTTTGCAATTTGATCTTGTTGATATTAATGTTTTACTGTTATGTGTGTTCTCCATGGTTAATTCTCGTTGACCACGTCTTATAGGATCAGTTTAGGCTTTAGTGTTCTCTTTCTGGAGTACTCTATATCTCTTCTTGCGAACATTTGTTAGTTGTTATTTTCTTTAGTTTTATGACTGCATTGTGCAAATTAGGTTCAAAGGAATAGTCACATGTTCAGCAATCAGACTTCACTGTGTAGTACTTTCTCGAGCTGTATAAAGAATTTTCATATTAGAGGATCATGTATTGAAGTTGCTTGAATTCCCTAGGTCCTTCCACTGCTACAGTTAGGAATGAAAACATTTTCCATGTTCATAATTGATGTTCTGAGCCAATGGACAATTGGAAACAGCCTCTCTGCTCCATAAAGATAGGGTTTGCGTATATCCTACCCTTCCCATACCCCATTTGTGGGATTGCACCGGGTATGTAGTTGCTATTGATGTTCTCGTAATGGGAAGTTTTGCTCAATTGTTTAGTCTTTTTTTCAGTTTTTTGTGTAACTGATGTCACGACCGGAATCTAGACCCCAGACGAGACCGGCGTCGTTGACCTCTCAGAGGTCGCAGACAAGCCTGCTTACGTCATTCTTACTTTACATAGATTAATTTTAGCGGAAAATTTGAAATTTTTGATTCTTTAATCATACTTGCTGAACATTCTTAACATTTCGTAATCGTTCATCATCAACCATCTAACATTTAAGAGATAAGCAACTGAAAGAAATAATTCATTAAGTATTAATTGTATATCGGCCAAAATAGCACCAATACAAAGTTTGAACCAAAACAGGAAAGAAACGCTAGTGGAACATGTTCCGCTAGCTCAACTCTAAAACTACGCTAGAATGTAAAACAGTAGCATCCTCGAAAGCATGAGGACCTACCAAACTCCGGATGAATACTGATGTCCGGATAGCTGCAACAACGAACCTGTAGCTCTAGCGTCCACCTGTGCCTGCACCTAAAAATAGATGTTCGTATGGAATTAGTACACACTTGTACTAAGTATGAGTATATGCAAGTACACACCAGGGACATGCATGAGGAAGAATAGCTCTTTCCTAACAACATGATTTTTGGAAGTCAAGTCAGTGGACTTGCCAAATTGAGATTGGGAAAGTTATGCCATGAGAGTGACATGCATCATTATAATTATCGTATAGCACACAAAACATAACATATTCATATAACACATAACATATAACACATACTTTCTTTCATATTATTCATTCGTATACCATGAGACCTTATTATCATAGACTTAACTTTAAGACTTTCCAAAATGAGGGCTCAACATATGGGACCTCAACTAGGGAGCCTTCTTTAGCAAACACAGAGTCTGCTTCACTCATTCATTCGTATTTCATTTCAATTCATTCATAGGCCAGTGCGAACACCAGCTATACCTAGGATGTAGTTTAAGACTTTCATCGGGTTTGCTGTGCAATGATCAGGAATGACCTAATGTCATTACCTGAATCTAGCTCACCTCTTGATTATCCTATCCTAACACCTTCGGTATCATTCATTTCTTTATATGATTCATTTGAGGCTGGCCTCATTCATTCATTGGGAACTTTAACTTTAACCGACATAGATCATGTGAGCATCATGAAATCCAGTGTCTTCCCCACACCGAAAAGAGGTGGAATCATCGGCCAAAGCGATTCAAATAACATGCTAGCGTATATGGGAATTTAACCCCGCCAGATCCCTATAGTGGCAATATAGGTTCAAAGACTAGGAGATGTGTGGAGACCCATACCCGGCAAGCCGGACAGTCTCATCTCATGAGAATTACGTGAACCTCCGCCCTTCCCGAAAGAAGGCATCACCACTCATAGCTAGCCTATCGGTGCTCGGTATAAAGTTCCATTACATGCAACTCATACATCATAGAAGTTTGCTTCTAGTATGAAGACATCATAGCTCAATAGATGATTTCTCATCTCATCATTAGTATTAAGTGTTTTAAACTCAATATTTTTATTAGAGTATTCATAGAGACTGGTCTCTTCATTATCTTACACTCTCATTGGTGAGTATGTATCGGTAACATTTACTTAAGCTCATTTAAGATTGCTCTCATCATACGCATTAACCTCACATCATGATTGTCACCACATTCTTCATTTCATTACGTATATCTTAGGTTCACTTATTCTTGAACGTATGTTAAACTTATATATCTATACATACAAGCCATGAGGCTTCATTTATAGTTCGTTAAGTGAATTCTTGTTTTTCTAAGATTATGTATTACAAGACTTATGTATCTTGTATATATGCCAAGATCTTTGATTTTTGATCTACGTAGATGACATTATTCTTGAATATTTCACTCACGTATGACTTATGTATCAATACGGAGGTTTGGACACGAGAACCCAAATTTTGAATTATTTGGATATCATTTATATTTTTCATTGATTTTTGTTCTAATATTCATAAATTTAGAACTCTAAGTTAAGTCTCAACATTTTCGTGAAATAATAAATTTTCTATTTTAATTAGAATTCTAAATTAAATTTCAATCATTTACATGAAAGAATAATTTTCTAATTTAATTAGAATTCCAATTTAAATCTCAATATTTACATAAAAGAATTAATATTCTATTTTTAATTAAAATTCTAAATTAAATCTCAATGTTTACATAAGAGAATTAATTTTCCAACTTTAATTAGAATTTTAATTTACTATTATTATTATTTTTAATTAAATTCGCTTGAATAGGGAGGTTGTGGGTTCGAACCCCCACAGCCCCCTTATTTTTCCTCTCATTTTCGCTGAAGAGGAGGCTGTGAGGTGGTGGGTTCGAACCCCCACAGCCCCTCTATTTTTTTTTTTAATTCTTTGACATCCAAAAATTTCCAGATTCTTTTTAAACCTATTTCTATGTTTTTGGAAATTTATTCCACTATTTTTTCTGCACTTTTTCATCAAGTTTCACATTAGTTCTTAGGGAGATTTCATGGTTCATTCACTTCACTATGCTTCATCAAAATGAACATCACATTGCACACCCATTTCACACATAAAATACATGATAAATAAACAACTTATATACCCAAAACAATGCCTAAAACACTGCCCTATACACACCCATACATCAACTTTTTCCGGTCATATTCTGATGATCATTATCGCGATTTCCCGCACATAAACACACTCATATTTAATTTAAACACATCATTCATGCAAAAATCTAGCAGCACAACATACCCATCCTACAAATTCATTAGGGAGCTAAGGACAAGGACATACGAAGGGGAACAACCTTAGTTTCAAGAGTTTAAGAAACGTCCGAAAGAAAGTACTCTTGGAGAAAGAATTCCATGAGAGAAACTCATACCTTAATCGATGTTCAAACTTTAATGTTGCTGCCCGGAAAACTCCTCCAAACCACTCCCAATTCACTTCAAAGTATACCTCTCTTAGCCTTGACGTTTTGATTACTTTTTCTTTTGCTTAAAAAATTTTTTTTGTGAGTTCTTCAAGCATGAAAATTATTGATATTTTGGCAGAAATAATGTGAGGAAGATGGAGAACGTGAGAGAGGGAGTTTAGAAGCGTGAGAGAGAGAGGACTAATTGGATTAGGAGACTAATTCAAGAATTAGTCAAATAACATTAAAATAAATAAATACAAATCTGTTTTATTTATTTATTTATTTATTCATTTAAAACGTGAAAGGACAATTATGCCCTTAAATACCTATTTATTCTTATTTACATAATTCTCTTTTTTTTTTGAATCGTTACAACTGATGTCCTAAACTGCTTAGCACGTTTTTGCATTCTGTAAATTGCTTAATCCTGAAGATGATATTTTCTGCCCAACTGGGGTAGACTCTGAGTCGTTTAGCTGATTGTCAATGTGCTTTTGTGCTACTTAAAATATGTCATTGAACATACATATCCTTGAGTTATAAGGATGGGCAGCGTTTGTCCTTGTGTGCCTTATATAATTCTTCGTTGGTTATATTACTACTACTGTCATAGTGCTAGTATGTTTTTCTTCTTATGTCACTTACTCTCTTGATGTTTTTGCCTGTGGGTTAAAGTCCCCCCCAAAACAAAAAGTACCTCTGATTGAGCCTTACAGCAAGCCTCTTTAACAATTTAGATGGCTTTTGTGAAGGACCGCTTTGTTATGTGTTAAAGGCCTAAGTTTATTGATACAAAGCAAAGTTTAATAACTTGAGTGTATCTTTTGAGATATCAACTTTATTTTATTACTTGAGTTTGTTAAATATATTACGTGGGCAGGCAAGAACATTTGTATGTAGTCAGTTGATTGTCTAGTAAAAATTCCGTGTAAACTTGAAAAAGACAAGTCTATTGAGAAAAATATCTTCTATTTTTTTTTTTTGGGTAAACGAGGAAAAAATCATTAATGTATCCACTCTCGTATTAACTAGATAGCATAAACAGTGAACCAACATAAACAGAATAAAAAACACAACCTAAGATGCTCTCAGTGTATATATCTGTTTGTTCATCCGACTCATTAATACTACCACCAACACTTGTAATACTCTCTATCAGGGTATGTCTTGTTCCGGCAGCCACAGGCATCTTGTACCTGCAAACAGGACAGGAACCGTGTATCTCCAACCACCGGTTAATGCAATTCGAATGATAATGATGTTTACATGGCATCTTTTTAGCTTTCTCCTCAACTTGAAACTCCAACAAGCAAATTGCACATTCACTTTCCTCTTCTATAATTTTAACAATTGGCAGTGCTTCTATTGAAGCCTGTGCCGCTGGTGCTGAAGCCCCGGCTTCATTCTGGATGTGTGAACTCATCAGAGGGAGATACTGAAACAACCTTGGTATGGCAAATTAAAGTACTTGGTATAGGATGGATGGGTATATATAAAGGGTATATTCTCGAACCTATATACTTTTAACAACAGTACTAATTATAAACCAATATTTAGTAAGGGCGTCTAATGGAGGGGTGTATATATAGTGTATATTCTCGAACCTAGTCCTAGTTGGATTGGGAATGATATACTTTTAACAGCACTAATTATATAGACTATACTTAGCCTCGCTTCGCGCGGTCATGAAAAGGATTAAAATAAAATTACATATTATGAATAATAAGTTTAATAAAAAGACTTTGTTAATCACATAATTTTATAGAAGAGAAGCTATGAAAAATATTTAGATTAAATATGAATTTATTAAGGAATCAATATATGTGAACTTCGAAAAGTTAAATATTAAAAATAAATTTTTTAGAGAAAAAGCGAAGGTAATAAGAATTGGGTAATATTAGAACTACTTAAATGTAAACTTGAGATCATTTTTTTCTTTTTTTATTTGAGATTTTCTTAGTATAATTTATATATATTTATGTAAACTTGAAATCTAATCACTCTTTTATGCTTATTTATAATTTTTTAAATTATATTCTTAGTATGACTTTTCAACAATGTATTACTCGAATTGCTATTAATTGTTAGTATTCATGACTATATAGTTAGCCAACAATATTATAAATCATTATCCACAATTGCTATTACTTGTCCTCGTCATGACCCAATCATCACATGTTTTTATTATTTTTATTGTACAATATTAGATTAATTTAATATTTGTATTAATAACTTTTTAATAATTAAATTTTAAATAAAGAAAAGTTTAATAATCTTAATTAGTTAAATTTCATAATTATTATTACTATCATTATACTTTAGGTTTAGATATCCAATTATTTTTGGGACAACTTATATTGAGAAAAAATGTAAAACTTAAAAATAAGATAAAAGAGAATAAAAGTGAGAATTAACTACCAAAAAAAGATTTAAGAAAATAACACATACAAAATTTTGATTTCTTTTAGTTTTGTTTGGCTTAAACACAAAATGTTAAAAAATTATATTTTACATTTAATATAATAAATTTCTAAGAATAAAAAGTCAGAGTAATGAAGATGATTAATAATATGGCTTTTAACTTTTGTCATTATTACACTAATAAAAAACATAAATTATAGAAAATGAAAAAGAGAAACAAACACCAATAAATCATAATTCGCGATTGCTCATGCTGCTCCGCCAGTCGAATTGCGCCATAGCTGCCGGTGGTGGCTGCGGCTGCTCACGGAAAGATCTTCTTCTCGTATTCATAGTATATTTGATGAATCAATTCCCGGACAACAAATTTATATTATGTATATATTCTTCAAGTTGGATTTAGAATAAAATAATTCAATTACCGAAATCCTAACTCCCTAACCCAACAGGTAATAGGAGAGACCAGAGAAACACTGTGTTGTGTTGTTCGTTTAGTTTGTTAATTAGTAATCTCAATTTTTATGTTATTGGTAAAAATTGGATTCATCTAATTGGTAACGTTTAATTTCCCCTTGCCCTTATATTTCTAATTTTAAAAATTTACTCCACCTAATTTAACTTAACACAAAATTTAAGAATATAAAAAAATTGAGATAATTCTATAAAATGACAAATTAATAAATATAGTAGCTATCATTTGATTTATTTGTATTCCATAGTAAACTGTTTGTCAGTCCCTCTCTCTCTCATATTCTCGCTCGTCTCTCTCGTTTTATACAATAGAATTGTATAAATTGAGTTTCTAATTGTAAAAAGCGAGAGAAAATTATATATATACATGCAAATACATATATCTCCATTTTATACACTTATAGTTATACAATAAAGTACTTTCCTGCCCAAGTCTCTTTTGTCTTTCTCTTTTTCTCGTTTTATACAAATTCAAATTGTATATAATTTCTCTCTTTCTCGTTTTATACAATTCGATTCAATTGTATATTCCCTGCCCAAGTCTCTTTTGTCTTTCTCCATTTCTCGTTTTATACAAATTCAAATTGTATATAATCATTCTATACACTTAGGGGTCGTTTGGTAGAGGGTATTAGGAAAATTAATACATGCATTAGGTGTGTGTATTAGTAATACATTGTTTGTTACATTTTTTTTGGTCATGTATAACTAATACAAGCATTAGTTATACACAATATTATGTATTAAGTTGTGTATTACTAATACCAAGAAATTTTAGGTATTAGTAATACATAGCATTTTTACACTTGCATTAGATTATGCAATTACAAAAATACCCTCAAAGCCCTTTAAAAAAACATTTTCCATAGTACTTGTTTCATCTTCTCTTTTATCTTCTCTGTACATTGTCAATGAAAATTCAAGAGTAATTTTTCTTCCTTTTGCTCAATCAAACATTGTTTGCTCATCTTCATAAGGTTAGTACTCTTATCTTTCATTAAAATCTGTATTTTTCAACATCTCTTTCTTCATTTTTATTTTCTCTCTCTTTGCTCATAGTTTTGAGCTTTAGTAGGGGCAATCCAAGCTTTAACATTCCAGAATAATCTGAATTATCATTTTTTTTTAATCTATATCAAATTTTTTTTATTGATTTTATCATTTTTGTTGTTGGATTTTGATTAATTTAATTTAATTTTTGTTGATAAAGGTCAGCTGATGTTGGTGAATTTGTGCTGTTTTTCTGCGATCTCGATTGGTGAAGTTGAGAAAATTTGGAACATTGGTGAATGGGTGGGGAATTTGTGTGAAGTTTTGTAGAGGTTTTTGGGTGTGTGAAAAATGAAAAATCTTTGAATTTTTAGTTTTTTTTTTTGTTGGATTGGAGTATTAATTTGAATGATTTCTGGTTGGAGTAGAGATGGAAGGAAGGGGATAGGTTTAGGGTTTGATGGTGGAGTAGAAATGATGGAGGAAACTGAGCTTGAAAAAGAAGAAGAATAGGAAGAAATAATGTTTTAGCAAAGAATTTTTTTTTTTTGATGTTTTAGCAAAGAACCTTGTTGGAAAGAAAGTATATAAAGAAATAAAGTGTAAAGGGTATTTTTGTAAACATACACTTTTTAAATATAAGTTATGCAAGATTTGTTTTTTCTAATACATCAAACCAAACAGTATATAAGAAATAATGCAGACATAATTAATGCAAGTATTACTAATGCAAGCACTAGTAATGCAAGTATTACTAATACACCCTATTTTGCATTATTCTTATACACTCTATCAAATGATCCCTTATAATTATATAATTCGTTTTATATACTTCGTTTTATACACTTTGTTTTATATAATTCTCTGCCAAAGTCTATTTCTTTTTCTCGTTTTATACACTTTGTTTTAAATTCTCTGCCTAACTCTCTTTCTTTTTCTCGTTTTATACACTTCATTTTATACAATTTGCTTCAATTGTATATATATGGCGAATTATACATATATACACGTTTGCTATGAAGTGCAATTATACAAACTTTCTTATAACAAATAAATATGAATTTTATGTTTGCTACATATGAAAGTTACTCAAAAAAATCCAATATATCATATGGTCATCAAATAAAGTTAGTTAAATATATCAAAATGTATAACATTGACACGTGAAAAAATTGAAATTAAATTGTTACAATAAAAAAGGACTTAAATATTTTGAAATTAGATTCTCTTAAATTCTGCAGTGACGGTGAGAATACAAAGGGAAATTTTTCAAAATGTCAATATTTTAGCATTTAAGAAGACTCATTAGCAACAACTTCAATATTTAGTAAAAATGTCATTTTAGTTTGTTATGTATGTTTTTATTATTTATTTTTTATTTAAAGAATATAATTATTTAATAACAAAAAGGAGAAAATTAAGGGGGGAATATTTCAAAAAAAGGCAAGCATCCTTAATTTTCTAATCAGTTATATTTTCAAATAAAATTTAAATTTTTTTTTCTCCAGAATTTTTACCTTTTTAAAATTATATTCATTCCAGAATATATTCTTATATTTATTATAGTTTTTTATTAGTTTGTATTCATTCCAATAGGTATGCCGAATTTATCTATATAGTCATTTAAGAAATATATTTGTATTTTTATATATTTTTTTTCCCTATATAGTTATTTTTTTCTTCAAAAATCTTATATGTATTCATTTCAATATGTATTTTATTTGTATTTCTATTTATTCTAGTTTTTATTTAGAATTTTGTATAATAATATATAAAATACAAAAAATTAGTATGATGAAAAAGTGAATGAAATATAAAATTGAAAAGAAATAATTGAATATTTGGTGTACTCATTCTTAAATAAAATACATAACTAGTTGAAATTCATTTAGAATAAATACAAATTAGAAAAAAATATCAAATTCAGTTGACATACCTTTATTAGTTTGTATTCATTCTAATATGTATGTCAAATAAAATGTAGCTATTTAAGAAATACATTTGTATTCGTATATATTTTTCACTGTGTATTTATTTTTCTTTTCAAAATCTTGTTTCCTTTTCTAAGTCGTATTCATTCCAATATGTCTATTATTTGTATTTGTATTCGAATACAAATAAACTAATAGAAAGTTGTTCTTCTTATAAATAAAATACATAACTAGTTGACATACATTTGGATGAATACAAATTAGGGACAAATACAAAATTCATAAACCATACAAAATGAAATTTTTAATAAATACAAATATTGATAGTATACATAAGTGATTTGAATACAAATTAAGAAAGCATACCAAATTCTAAAAAAGAACTATAAATACAAAACAAACTAATAGAAAATTGTTCGCGATCTTCGTCGTCTTTTTCAAGATCCTCACGAGCAGACAAAGATTTTACATTTGCGTTCTGAATTTGAGGAAGATTTTGCACACCAATGAGTCTTGTAAATGTTCTTACCCTCTTTCTTCCCTCATTTTAGCAGCGGATCATACATTATACACTATTTGTTAAGTAATAAATAAATTAAAGGATGAAAAATCACCAGAAATTGGTTGATTAAGATGAATACCTCTAGTAAGCCTCTTGGATTCAGTCATTAGAGATTAAATCATAACGGAAATTGAAAAATACAAACAACATTTTTTTAAGATTTAAACAAAAATAAAATTAGAAAAGAAATATGAAAATAGGATAAAGATTAGAGATACCTTAATCAAAGGGATTCTTGTTGATTCAATTTTGGATTAAAAAAACAACCAAAATATATGACAAAAAAATATTTGCAACTTGAATGTTGGAGGAAAATCAGAAAAGATAACCATAAGAGAGAAAAAAAATGAAATGGGAGAGAGAATTAACAATTTGAAAATATAAATATGAGAGAGAATAATTTTTTTTTTAAAAAAGGATAATAGAATTAATTGAAAAAGAGAGATAAAATAGGAAGGAAATTGGGACACATAAATTTTTAAAAATAATGACATTTTTGACATTATTTCTAATATTTATAAAGTATGGATATTTTTACTAAATATGTTATTTATTTTGACTAGTTTACTAATTTTTCCAAAAAAAATTTAAATTTTATTTGAAAATGTAACTGATGAGAAAATTAAGGATGCTTGCCTTTTTTTTGAAATATTCCCTCCTTGATTTTCTCCTTTTTGTTATTAAATAATTATATTCTTTAAATAAAAATAAATAATAAAAATATAAATAAGATATATAACAAACTAAAATGACATTTTTACTAAATATTGAAATTGTTGCTAATGAGTACTCTTAAATGATTAAAAAGTCCAATATGTTTTAATTTGATACCTACAAAATCAAACAAGGTGGTTGTGTCTATGACCTGTAAGTTACGACATGGTCTATAGTTGCAAATACATATGAAGAAGACATGACCCTTTATGTCTATGTATAAATAGTGTCATATAAAACCTAATTGATATTCAATAACACCGATTCTGAATTTTATAATCTTGATATCCTGATCAGCTTGCATACACCTCTTGAAATCTCATAACCTTTTTATTAGCCAACGTCCTTACTAGAAGTGTTTTAGCTCAATTGTTTCCACATTAAAACTTTCTTTTTGCAACACTAATGTTCTAAACTGCGCAGCAATTCAACTTTATACATCCAACTGCTTAATTAATCCTCTTCATTATATTCTACACTCATAGTATATATCGTGTTTTTCTTCCTATGTTGTTTTCTTATGTGGGTTTAATCTCCACTGATTTAGCCTTAAATTGAGATTTAAGGCAAAAGGAGCTATTAAACTTGGATAATAGAATTTGCAGTCAAATTTCTACAAAAACGTGACTAGGGAGTTGATTGTGTTGTGAATATTTCATGTAAACTTGAAAAAGAGAAGTCTATTTGAGAAGCAATAGTGTCAAAATTTTAAACACCAAAGATTACATGCACTAAAGCCGTAGTAAGACATTGTGTTCTTTTTAGGGAATTTTAGTATACATATGGATTTATTTTAGAAAATAAAATTTATTCTAATATAATTTTTTTTTTTATTTCTCAAATTAGGCTTCACATTGGACTAATTTTATTGGGATAATTTTATAAAATGATAAACTAGTAATATAAAATAAATATAGTAATTACCTTTTGATTTATTTGTGTTCCATAGCAAACTGTTTGTCAGTCCCTCTCTCCCTCATATTCTCGCTCGCCACTCTCCCCCTCTCTCTCTCTCGCTTATTCATGTCGCTCGCCTCTCTCGCTTTATACAATAGAATTGTATAAATTGTGTTTCTAATTGTATAAAGTGAAAGAAAATTGTATAAACGCATGCAAATGCATATATCTTCGTCCTATACACTTATAATTATACAAATACAAATATTTTCCTGTCCAAGTCTCTTTTGTCTTTCTCGTTTTATACAAATTCAAATTGTATATAATTTCTCTCTTTCTCATTTTATATAATTCGATTCAAGTGTATATTCCCTGCACAAGTCTCTTTTTGCCTTTCTCTCTTTCTCGTTTTATACAAATTCAAATTGTATAGAATTTCTCTCTTTCTCGTTTTATACAATTCAAATTGTATATAATTTCTCTCTTTCTCGTTTTATACAATTCGCTTCAATTGTATATGTATAGCGAATTATACATATATAAGTTTGTTATGGAGCGCAATCATGCAAATTTTGCTATAGCATATAATTTTATGTTTGGTATATGTAAAAGTTGTCCAATTTTATTTTCGTTTCTCTAAAAAGAATTTAACTCGTAATAATAAAAAAAATGAGTGATGAAGATTTCAAAAAACATGTTGAAAACCAAACTGAGGAAGAAAAATTTCTTATAAATTTGTTTTGTATTTATAGTTTTTTTTAGAATTTTGTATCATTTCTCAATTAATATTCAGATCAGTATGTATGCTATTAATATTTGTTTTTATTCAAAATCTCATATTGCATAGTATGAACCTTGTATTTTTTCCTAATAATTTAAATTGATCCCAAAGACATGTCAACTAGATATGTATTTTATTTAGGGAAAATGCACAAATACACCCTCAACTTATGCTCGAAATTACAAAGATACACTAATTTATACTAAGGTCCTATTACCCTCTAAACTTATTTCATAAGTAATTTTTTACCTCTTTTCGACCTACCTGACACTAGCTTAAAAAATGTCACGTTGCACATCTTGGACGTGCCTGAACCGCCCCTGCTGAATATAGGCAAGCTTAATCCTAGTCAAAATCCAAATAGGAATCAATCACAGGCATTTGATATCTACAAATTGGACTTGAACCATGTATCTCCAACTACTTGTTAATATAATCCAATAAACAAATTATACATTTACTTTTCTCAGAGGCGGAGCTAGATGGAGGTTTATGGGTTCAGACATATTCACTAGCTTTTTTGTAGATTCTATATTTATATTAAAAAATTAATTTTTTTAATGTATATTAACATGTGAACCCCAAAAAAACTCATTTAATTTAGAATCCCCCAAACTCCTAATCTTGGTTCCGCCTCTAACTCTCCTCTCAAAGAATTACAACAATTGGCGGTGCCTCCATTGTCTATGTTGTAGGTACAGACCTCATTTTTAACGTTTTTGAAATTTGACAATAATGAAGTTCTTATAATCATATTAATTTAATTCATTGCTCGAATTCAATACTTACTAAATTAAATAAGGTACGTAAATATGGTGATAAGCGATGACATGATTTATCGTTACAAATACTTGTGAAAAAAGACACGCCATTTATGTGTGTGTATATATATATATATTGTAATGAAGAACCTAATTTTGGTTGGATTTGAAATAAATATACATTATTAAAGTCATGCACACAAATGAGCAAAGGGGTAAGTAATCATTTGTGAAAGTTAGTTTTATGCTATCTTGTGTAATTTTTATACCATATGGTTAAATTTATAGATGAAAGATTGATGTATCATCTTTCTAGCTAAAGAACTTTGAGTTGATTTAGCTAAGAAATTAAAGAATTTTGAGAATTTATACGGTAAATTAATTAATTAGTAAGAAATTACAAAAGAAATTTTACTATTTAGTTGATAATTTGTATCATTTATACACAGAGCTTTTAAAGATTTTGTATTTGTCCTTCCCTGACATTTCACATATTATTTCAATTCGTGTTAATCATAATATTATATAATCACATGCAGTTTTAACTTTATGTTTTCATATGCTATTTTAACACTCTTTTCTTATTTTCTTGTCGCTATCTTTTGCAAAACATACCATATGAGAATATAAAATATTGAATCTATCTAGTTATTATTAATAGAGAAAAGATTGATGTACCATCTTTCTAGATAAAGAAGTTTGAGTCGATTTAGATAAGAAGGTAAAGAAATTTTGAGAATCTATAAGGTAAATTAATTAGTTAGCATGAAAGTACAAAAGAAATTTTACTACATAGTTGATAATTTATACCATTTTGAAAGTACAAAAGAAATTTTACTACATAATTGATAATTTATACCATTTATACACATAGTTTCTAAAGATTTGCATTTGTCCTTCCCAGTCATTTCACATGTAATTTCTATTCGTGATAATCATGAGATCATATAATCACATGCAGTTTTATCTTTGTGTTTTCATATGCTATTTTATCACTCTTTAAACAATCACCACATGAGAATATAAAATATTGGATCGATCTAGTTATTATTATTAGAAGAAAGATCGAGTACCATCTAGATAAAGAAAGTTTGAGTCGATTTAGCTAAAGCTGAAGAAATTTTGAGAATCTATACGGTAAATTAATTAATTAGCAAGAAAGCGCAAAAGAAATTCTACTATTTAATTGATAATTTGTACCATTTATACACAGAGTTTTAAAGATTTATATTTGTAATCTTGACATATGATATTTTATTTCTACTCGTGTTAATCATTATATAATCACTTGCAATTTTAAATTTATGTTTTCATATGCTGTTTTATCACTCCTTTTCTATTTTCTTGTCGCTATCCTTGACAAAACATTCACCATATGAGAATATAAAATATTGAATCTATCTAGTTATTATTATTAGAAGAAAGATTGTTGTACCATCTTTCTAGATAAAGAAGTTTGAGTTGATTTAGCTAAGAAGCTAATGAAATTTGAGAATCCATACGATAAATTAATTAATTAGTAGGAAAGCACAAAAAAATTCTACTACTTAGTTGATGATTTGTACCATTTATACACAAAATTTTTGAAAATTTGTATTTGTTCTTCTATGATATTTCACATATTATTTTTATTCGTATCAATCATGATATTATATAATCACATGTAATTTTAACTTTATATTTTCGTATGCTATTTTATCCCTCCTTTTTTATTTTCTAGTTGCTGTCCTTGGCAAAATATTCACTATATGAGAATAAAAATATTGAATCTATCTGATTATTATTATTATTTATTATTATTAACGATACCAGAGCAATTAATGGACAAACAAGGATATTTGATGTGTTAGAAATACTTTTATGGGGGGGGGGGGTTAAAAGGAGTATCGAATTATTAAAATAAACTTCAATTGAAAAATACTTTCAAAATAATTTAAATTTATATTTATTATTTTCTATTAATAAGCTAATGAATTTATATTTATTATTTTACTATTAATAACATAATTTCATTATTAGTATTATGTATCTAGTTATATCTTTTCCCCAAGAGCCACAATAGTTCGGTTAAATTGAATGAATATTTTGTTGGTTTAAATATATAAATATAAATAATAAACCCAATGAAGCGAAGGATGACGGTGTCACTTGGGACAAAAAATATTACTAGTATCAGAATATTCCGGTAACGTTGCAGATAAATTGTGCCCCAATTCAAAAGAAGCAAAATCAATCGATAACTGGAAAGAAAGCTCTGTGTTGCTATCTTTGAATTAGGGTTCTATATTACGAACCCTAAAATTCCAGTTCGTTCCTAATTCTTGTAGCCATGGACTCTCCCGCTGCAAATCACTTGGATATATTCGATATCTACGGCCGATACTGTGGTATTTTAATCCAGATTCCATTCCTTGTAGTTTTAATTTCGTAATTTTTGTTTCTCCTTATGGATTATCATTAATTTAATACTACTAAATTCCAAACTAGTTGATTTGTCTATATGAATTGAACCGATTCATTCAAGAAATTATGCAAGGCTTCATACTTTTGTTTTTGATCTGGAAGTTACGGTTGTCCCTAGGTCTCCGTGTTTTTATGTGAAGGCGTTGATGTTCTTGTTTTGCATTGATTTAACTTTTTGTAATTTGTTTGAATTTTTTCATTATACATGAACAAGTCAGGTTTATGTAATTAATTGGTGTTTTTTCACTTATGTTGATCTGCTTAGTGATGTATTTGCTTTGCAGATATCATGTCAGGGGCATATGCTACCAGGAACCTAGTAGATGAATTGCAGAAAGCCAGATTTACAAGAGAGGCATTGAACCAGCTTATGAAATTAGTGGATTCAAGTTTGCATATAAGGCATGTATTTGGTAGGACATGGAACTAGCAGCATTTTTGATCTTTTATGTATGTCTGGATTCTAAGAGTCCAAAACTATATCTACAAGAGTTCAAGTTTCCTCTTTCCCCTTGAAACACCAACATGGAACACTTGCAAATGCTTGATCCATATCAAAGAAAAGTTGGGACTTCTGTATGCATAATACCTTTTTAAAATAAAAAATACTTACAGCTATTGCTCTTTCTGTCTTGCAAAGACAAAGGTCTAACGGTTGAACCGTTGAGAGAATAACAGCAACTCAAATTGATTTTCTTGGACGGTTTCTAACAGATTTGTGATTGATTTGAATGTCACTTCTGCTTTGGGTAGGAATATGTGTTGTTTATTACATTGGGAAGCCTGATACATTTGCCAGATGTACTACGTGATTCTCAAGACCAATGCTGAAATCCTTGTTCTGCCGTTACATTTTTATCGGTGCTTTCTGTCTAAATTCTTTTGTGATCGTGTGGCTTACTTGTGTTAGTCTTAGATCACCTTTCGTTACGTTGGGGGGCGGGGGGGGGGGGGGGGGAAGGAATAGATAGAGGTTGCCAATATTGACAAATTTGTTTTCAACCATGGCAGGGCGACTATCTTTGAAGAAGTGTACAAGCTTAAGTTGCGGTTGAATTTGGAGGTTTGTTGATTGGATGATGTTATGATGGCTGGATTTTATTTAGTGTGAAACTATCCACATCCATCTCTCTTAGAGTTGGCCTTTTAATACAATACAAAGTATTTCAATCATCAAAAAAGGAACTTACATTGTATTTCCTTTTGTAGGCAGACTTCTCTGAGTTCTCGCGTTTCTATGATTTTGTCTTCTTCGTTTTCAGAGAAAATGGACAAAAGAACATCAGTAAGTTGATTACCTTGTAGATGATTTTGCAGCAGTGTGCTCATTCTTTGTAAAGCATTCATAGTGCAGTTAGTTTGTTTTTTTTAACTTATGTTGAGTTTAAAATATTTCAGCTATAAGTAAAGCTGTTACTGGTTGGAAAATAGTTTTAGCTGGAAGGTTTCGGCTACTTGATCACTGGTGCGACTTTGTTGAGGTAAGTGTCAGTGACTCTTATTGATTGATTTGTTGTCATGTGTTCAAACTTCAAATTGCATTTTTCATCTGTTTGTATGTGTTAAGAATTATCGAATTTTAAGACTGAATAAATTCATCAATTACAGAGGATCCATGTGCTTGTAACTTTGCTTCGTTAAGGTTATTTGAGTAGACAATTAAGTCTACTTTATTAAGTTTGTCTTAAGGGTCAATAGAATACAAACAATAAGGTTTTGTCAGCTGATGAATAGACGTCGAATATCGTGGGATGTCATGTCATTAGCACCTATGTTAGTTATAGGCTTATGTAAGGAAGAAACAGGAGAAGACATGGCTGTTTATTGAGGAACGTCCTCGCACTTGTAGTTTCTTCTTTGACCCATGAAATTCTTGTTTGTGTAACACTTTAGGAGTTATTAGTACAGAATCCTATTTTTTTTCTTGTACTGCTTGTATGCATGAGATTTTCATAGCAGCAACGCAATAATTAAGCTTTAGTTCCAAACATGTGAGGTGCATCATGAAATTGACTAGTTTTTGGTTGGCTGGTTGCCTGCTGCAACTCCCCTCCATTTATCCAACTTTAGAACCGGCAATGTGAGCAATCTTTACCAGCTGGAGTTATACATGCGATTTTCCCATTATTAAAAAAATTTTGCAAAAGAAAAAAAAGTTTTTCCATCTGGTAGATTTTCTTCTTTTTGTTCTTTCTGATTGTGGTTGTTTTAGCTGTCTTGTGTTTTTGGTTTGGGCATTGAGACTTTCAGTTGTAGCTGGATTGTGGCAGCCAATGCATTATTTAGGCTTATATTTGTCAACTTAAATCCATGGTGGTACCTTACTTTACAAAGACTGATATTCTACTTTATGGTTGGGTGACTGCTGAATGTTGGTAACTTGCAATTTTCCTATAGTGATTATTGTTTACTGAAATCTCCAGAAAAAACAGCGATATAATATATCTGAGGATACTTGGCAGCAAGTTTTGGCCTTCAGTCGTGCTGTGCATGAAAATCTTGAAGGATATGATCGGGAAGGTATTAAATTTACGCTATTTAGCTTTCAATCATCACCATCCAGGACATGTCAATGTCACCCTAAAATCATACTTAATAGAGACGTATTGTAGTTTGGTTCCTGAATTTGGTATTTTATATTTCTTCTATTTAAGAAGTATCCTTTTTTTTCAATTCCAGCTAGTTGGTATCATCAATGCATCCTTTGCTTCTGTGATGTTCTATTTATGCTATTATCAGAGATTTTAACGAAAGTTATTTGCAAGACAATAGCTGCAAAATGTGGGTTCTTAGTTTGAAAGAAAGGTAGTTAAAAGTTACTCAATCTTGTGGTAATCTGATCATCAAAGTTTAATTTGAAAGTTTGATTTGTGTATTGAATTGGTAAGATCATGCAAAGCATAGTTAGTGATGCAAAAACATCACTTCATTGTTTAACTGAGTCTGAATTTTGTATGAAGAGTCTTATAGAATTTTATTATTTGATTGAAATGTGTCAAACTTTTTGAGAAGTCCTAAGATTGAAAGACTATCATATAAAAATACTGTAGGAAGGAGAAACATTTTTCAGGTCCCAGAAGTAGAAGGTTAATTTTGTTTTCCGCTGCCACAATTATTTTCTGTTTTGCCTTGTCGTTCTTTTATCTTGAGTAATTAGTCCTTTACGATATATAATATTGGAATGAATTTGCACTTCTTTGGTATTGTGGAAAGATGATTATGTTTAGAATAGCTGCTTCCATTTTTCATATTTTGTGTTTCGATCTTACTAATCCCACCGGCCCACTCCTTTAATCATTATGTTTTTTTGTGGTGATGTTCTCTGCAGGAGCTTGGCCTGTTTTGATTGATGATTTTGTTGAGCACATGTACAGGTGGCTACTAACCAATTTTTCTCGTGGAAATTAATTCCAATGTGTTTCTGCTTCTTTCATCTAGATTATATTGGTCATGTTAAGAAATATTTACTTGGAACGGTAATGGGTTTTCTTCCCTTTTCTCCACTTTTGCGGCACAAAGAGGTTAGAGACCATGTCTGGCATGTGTATCTTAGAGATGTAATTACCCTCTATTGCTTATGCTTAGAGAAGATAAGCTTGGTATGATATGATTCAGGAGATTGATCCTCATCATTCACTTGTATCATTTAAGATATTCATCTTATTGGATGAAATAAGTTCCGGGGACTAACTCGGGTGATTGATGTATAGAACTTTGTGGACTTGGTGTCTGTCTTGGACGGTCATGGTTGTGTAGTTCATGGCCTACACAATTTGTGGTTGGTTCCTTCCATGGAATTTTATTACATGGTCTATTTTTCTCTTACATGAAGGATGTGTCTAAATTTAGATTCCGATTCAGACTGCAGCATAAACTAAAAGGGAAATCTTGGCCTTGCTTTAGCTAGCATTCCGTAACGGTCTATGCACTTTTGAATGCCAAGCAATTTGCACTGCATTTTTTAAGACTAGATTTGACGAGGCAGATTTGTTATGCAGGGTTGGAGGAGTTGATACTATTTCTAACTCATTTTGTTGTAGCTGTGGTAATTCGGGAGCCCAGCCATTTGAGGATTCTTACCCTGGTAATTGCGGCTAAAGATACTGTCTTGGTTCACACTGAATTATCTATACTATTATTACTTATCTGTGTTCTTGGTGCAGGATTGATAAATTTTCCTGGTATGAAGAGGAAATCTTGTGGCAATTTACAAAGAGTAGAAGAATCATCTCATGGAGATCCAGGCATGGATGTGATTGTCAATTCGAAGAGGAGGCACGTTAATTTTGGCAACCAAAATGTTGACTGGACAGAAAACCAGTCACATGGTTACTCGGAAATGGTTAAAGCAAATAGCCCATTAAATCATTCTGCATCTCCCTGCGCTGTTGAAGGTTGTTTGTCCAAGGGTTTTGCGGGACTGTTGTCAGGCCCTTCATGTTTGCAGTTTGATAAAGAAAGGAGAACTTCCTATACATAAGAAGGTTTTTGATCTTGTTCATTACTGCAATATATCAGAAAGTGGCATTTTTTATTTCCTGAAGTAGAACTGGGGATATGTAGGTTTGACATGAGGAAGTATTTTTTATTTTTGAAAAAAATTAAATTCGAACTGTAATCTTTCTGATGCTTCTTTAAATCCTCTGACGTGTCCAGACGCATGACATTTGTGGAGCAAATCGAGAGGTAATAAAAAGAGTTGTATGATCTAGGAAATTAGTTTGATATATAAGTTATGTTATAGGACCTATCCCTTAACTGTTGCTTTCATGATGATTACTGCTAAATTTTCTTAAATTTGCAAGTGGAACAGTAAATTTATTAGTTGATAAAATATTCAATTACAAGGGAATTCGAATTGTTTCGGATGCTCATTAGCTGAGCCAAAGGCGCAAGTGAAAATCATGGATATGTACTAAATTATTACTATTAGGGTATTTAGGAATGATCATTGTGTAGGAAACCAAAATTAGCTAGGATTTGATACTCCTTTCGTCCTTATTTAGTTGTCGATTTTAGAAATGACGCACATATTAAGATAGCAATAATTAGCATAGTGAAGTTACAATTTTATCCTTGTTTTCAAAAGGAAAAAGGGTCAAAACTACCCTCAAAATATTTGAAATAGAGCACATATACCCTTCGTTTCATTTTTGGCTCAAAAATACCCTTATCATTAACATTGTCATTCACATAAGAGACCACAAATACCCTCCAACTTAACAGCCCCCGTTAACCTCATGACATGGCATCTAATGTCGAAAAAATAAGTCACCTGGCTCAACACGTAAGTGTCCTGCGTGGAATAAGGATCCACACGACTGTCGCCTAAGCTATACATGCCAATTAACCCTTTACCCAACCCACTAACTAGACCGACTCGTCGGAGAAAATTCACTTCATCGGCCGGAATTTCTATCGTCAGCGACACTAAAAGCTGCCGGAAGAAAAAAAATGCCTATTCTACCCTTGCACTCTCTCATTTTCAACGTTAAAACCACTGTTAAATCCTATTGTTTCATTTCTTTCTTCTTCTTCTTCAATCTCAACCTCTAGATTTAGAAAGCTTTCACAATTTTCAATTCGTTCATCATTCAATGATACTCCGGATTTTTTTTGTACCAAAACTCAAGCAAAACGAAGATGATTCTGATGATAAAACATTCTCATTTGTTTATGAATGGGGCGAGAGGTCGAAACCAGAGCTCCGACCCATGACGTAGTTATCGGAAGCCGGACCCTCCTATTGACTAGATGAATGGGGTAGAGCTGAGCTAGGGATCAACAACTCTTCAGGGATTGAAGATGAGTGGGGTGAGAAGTCGTTTCCGGAGCTTCGACCCGCGAAAATGACATCGGCTTCGGATCCTCCTATCGACGAAGACGAATGGATCGGAGCTAAGCTAACAAGCACCTAAGCTACCCATGCCCATTAACCCTTTACCCATATCAGCAGATTCCCGTGACTATGAATGTGAATGGGTCGGTCCATTTAGTAGTTGGGTAAGGGGTTAATGGGCATGGGTAACTTAGGTGGCAGTCATGTGGATCTTTATTCCACGCTTACGTGTTGAATCATGTGGCTTATTTTTTCCACATCAGATGCCACGACATGAGGTTAACGGAGCTGTTAAGTTGGAGGGTATTTGTGGTTTCTCTTATGTTAACAACAAGAATATTTTTGAGCCAAAAATAAAATGGAGGATATATTTGCTCTATTTCAAATAATTTGAGGATAATTTTGACTCTTTTCCGTTTTTAAAAAGAATGGATTAAAACTTAAAAAAATTTCAAGAAAATTAAATAAGGGTGGAATAGAAATTTTCTTTTTGTCCTTTTTTGATTTGTCTAAATAGACAAGTAAATAAGGACAATTAAAAAAAATGTTGAACAAGTAAATAGGGACGGCTGAAGTTGTTTATTCATGTCTAAATAGGATTTTTATAATAAGAAATTATATATAAATAGGTTTTCCTGTTTGATGTAAAGTATGTAGTATTATAGTAAGGGAAAAACGTTTGATATAATTTTCAAACTTTTTACTTCTATTTTTTTAAAAAAGAAAAAATCATGTAGTGATGTATAAGATCCTTCTCATACATAATTTTTTTTACTTCTTTGATTATCATAATTAAAGTTGTTTATTTATATTTTATTTTTTTCTTTCATTCGTGAAGAAATTTTTAAAACTGTTTTTCTGTGGCTAATTATAATTTAAAACTATTTTTTCGGCTTACTCTAGTTTATTTTTTTGTATTTGAAAAAAAACATCTATGATAAATTTTACAAGAAAATTAATGAAACATAAATAAATTTAACTAGCAAAATAATAAAATTTAAATTTGTCATAGAGATTAAAAAAAAGTCAAAAAATGTGCGAAAATGATTAAATGTACTCATATGAATTATATTTATTTTTTAAAAATAAATCACTTCCATTAGAAAAAAAATAAAATATTATGAGTCATTTAAGATAACACTAATATATATGAATCACAATGGCATTATCAGACTTTTTCCTTCTTATAAATACGGATACTGCTAGTGGATCTCATGAGAACTGTCAATATGAAACAATTGTCCGCTAAAAGCTTTACTTGAAGGAAAGCATCAGAAGTGATTGATTGTGGTTTAGATGAGTCGGTCAATTTTATTATTGAGAGAGAATACATCTAAACAAAAATTGAGGTGGCTGATTATTTGACAACTAAAACTTCCAAAAAATATAGAGTAGAAATTGCAACATGTAACTACATTTTGCTAACAAAATAGAGTATATACATGATTATATGATCAAGCGCGGCAATCATTCCTGACGTGGTAGTAGTATGATAGTTAACCAACTTGTTGCATCCTCTCGTGGCGATACCAGTAACATGTCTCTGAAATGCCATCATTGGAACTTGATAAAACCCCCAAATATCTACAAGTAATGAACCTCACCACTGATACTTAGCAGCAATGAGAACTTCTTCATAGTTCTGAGCAGCATTATCCCAACTTAAGTCTTGTGTCATACAACGCGTCTGAATCCCCTCCCAACTCTTTTTGTACTCACGATAAGTCAGCAAGCAATTTCCTAATGCGTGGATCAGCTGGTTAGCTTCAGCCCTACTGAAGGTCCACCCCAGTCCTGACTCATTAAAAGGATCAAAGGGCTGCACAGTATCTCTGAGTCCTCCTACTGCATGAACAACAGGAATAGTCCCATATGTCATTGCATAAAGCTGGTTCAGTCCACAAGGCTCAAATCTAGAAGGCATGAGCAGAATGTCTGCACCAGCAGTTATACGATGAGAAGTCTTCACAGAGAAACCAACCCATCCTCTAATTTTATCATTGTGTTGACACTCAAATTGCCTTAGCATCTGTTCAAGGTCAGGCCTCCCCGTACCCAACATGACCAGTTGTACATCCTGACCCATCATCCAAGGCACTGCCTCAGCAATCAGATCAACACCCTTTTGTGGGTCAAGCCTCCCAATGAAACCAATCAGTGGGACATCATCACGAACTGGTAAACCAAGTTCCTTCTGCAATGCAGCTTTACATTGAGGCTTGCCAGTCTGCAGTGTGTCCAAGGAGTAGTTCACGTAACCATCTGACTGTAAGTGAACGTCCAACTCAGGGTTCCACTCTTTTGTATCAATCCCATTCACAATACCCCGTAATTTCCAATCGTTCTCATTAATTATCTGATGCAATCCCCAACCACCTTCGGAAGTCTTGAGTTCCCATGAATATCCATGACTAACTGTAACTACACGATCTGCTGTCTTTAGACCAGCCGCAAAAATGTTGAAATGCTCACCTCCTACTGGGTCATACAATTTGAAAGGGTCCATATAGTGTGGTGGAAGATCTACATATGAAAAATCCTCCAAAGGACCACGACCCTGCATGAGATGGAACAAATTATAGAGCTGAAAATGATAGAAAGCTGGCTAAGATTGCTATAACCCTTATTCACGTTACAAAAAGATAAAATAAATGACAAAAATCAGAAAATACTAACAAAATACAGAACTTGGATAGAGATAACTCCAATTACTCTACTGTTTTATATTCCAAATTATTATTTTACACTCTTCACATTATACTTAAAAGTTATAATCTACCAGATATTTGAAAACAATTGCACAGGTCAAAGTAGGTCATGTTTAATTGGACGAACATAGTATTTCTAGTTCTCTGCTGCTTACATTACATGCATAAAATCTTGGCTCACTCCACAGCGCTCTTTGTAACTTTCATGAAGAAAATTCATTATAAAAAGAAAGTTGTATTCAGATACATATCAAATGAGGCAAGAAAAAATTTAATAAAAAGATGATAACTAGTAGTAGAAGCAAAATGCATCAGTGTGCTTAACCTTAGCACATGAGGAAAAGGTAGAGTTGTACATTGCTAATATAAGACTTCATGTACGACATATCTTTGGTAACTTCTTCGAGATTTTCTTTTGTTTTTTGTGGGGTTGATCTCATATTGTGGTAGATCATTACAAATCAAAGCATAATCCAGTATGAAGCTTAAAAAGCATATTCTTCAACCGGCTCACGCACAGAGATGAGAAAACAACTTTTCAAAGAATTTCACTTATCAGGCAATACTCCTAAACAAGTCTGAGTATGGTCTGTGCATGATAAAAAATGCTTTACCTGTAACTAGATTTATTGATAGCCTGATATGGTACTCTCAGTGGGTACCTAAGCTATTGAACTTAGTGACGCGGAAGTAATAATTATCCCACGAACACCTAGTAGATATATAATATCAAACTAGTCATCGTTATTAAATTATTTTGATAACCGAGAAATTTTCGAGGCCTCCACAGTTCAAAACTCAGTGGATGATGGGCCCCACCCATCGGTTTACCTATCAAGGTAATCATTTATTTTAAATCTTATGCTTAGAAGTCATAGAAATCATGATATACGACCAACCTTTGGAACTTAAAAAATGGCTATACTGCTAAATTATTGGAAATAAAAATGCACAGGTGGATTAGAAAACTGCTTTAGTTGCTGATGAAACTGACCTGATGAGCGATGTTATGAATCACCAGGACAGATCTTGTATAGTTCATAATTCCATTGTCACGATAATAAGCTTTCAGATATACTGGCAATAAAGCAGTATGCCAATCATTAGCAATGAACACTAAGTTTCCATCTCCATAGCAGACCCCACCACATGGAACATGCCAAGGAACCTGAAATTGTGAATCAGTAAAATGTATTTTGAAAT